CATGAAGCCAGCTTTGTGTACATAGTTCTCCTTCATTTAAACACATGACATTCAAAATGACCTTTCTTACTAATGAAATAGTGAGATAAAGTTAAAGAAAAAATGTAATTTTAGAGTGTAATATGGCAAAAGGCTTTCATGGCCAAACTCTCCAGACCACAATTTCTAGCACGTCGTTGACAAAGTTGAGACCACTCAGACTCAACATGAACTCTTCCACCCCTGAATGGCTAAACATGCCTCTTACTTGCTGTTATTTTCTCTGAAACTATCACCAAGATAAGGTTCTGATAATTTTGAAGCAAAAAATAGGCACAGAGTGTAGAATCATGCTCCATTTATCTTAACGTTTTTCTAGCGTGAAGGATCCTCTCTGCGATGTTCCAGACTCAAATCATATAGAGTGCTCACCAGAAGTACTGTGCTGTACTGTTTACTGCATGGTAAAAGAAGTTTGTTGGGTCAACTTTTGCTGGGCCCTACGGGGACAACTTGTGTCCAGGCTGCTCTACCAGGATAATGTGCTCCTACTAAGTAGAAATCAATTTAGACTGTGGTGGTTGGTGGTGGGGGTGGGGGGGTGGGGGTTTGGGGGGAAAGAAAAACACAGTTTCATTTAAATTCCCCAAATGGATTCCCCAAGCATATTTCTCCTGTTTTTTACAGAGAGTTTACTGATGTGGAAGATCCATTAGAGGGATGGAAGGATCGAGGACTAGATTGATGCAAGGAAGAATGAAGAGATGAGCTTTATGTAGACTGATTAACAGAGGCAGCACTGAAGCACTGTGCTGCCACATTTTGTACCACTGGCATTTCTCTCAGAGCTTTCATGCATTTACACTTCACTTTTAGCCTCCCATCTCTCTCTTTTTTTTTTTTTTTTAAATCTCCACTCACCCTTTTTAACCAGTCGACCACAGATTAAATGAAAATTAGTCACTCAGGTTTTAGCATGAGTACGCTTGGATCTTGGGCACTGGAAGTATTTTAGTGAGATCTGCTCATTTATTTTAAAAGAAAGGCAAGCTTGTGCTGTTTGCCTGCCTTTCCTTTAACCCAGTTATTCTTAGAACGTGTAAAAAATTGCAATTATTTTGCAGCTTTATGGTCGAAACCGTGTTTTAAAAAAAAAAAAAAAAACGAAAAACGTATCACAGTTGACAACTTTCAAAACAATTATAAAGTGCTTTACAGTAAAAACAAAGAATAAAATTAATAAAATCCAAAACATAAGATAAAACGTAAGATAATTAAAACATTACCAGACATGAAGCTCACTGAACAGCTTTAATATGCTGATGAATCTCCACTGTTTTATTGCAGAAGTAATAAAGATTTTTTCACACCTATCATCTGTCAGAGTCCTCTGATTAGTAATTAAGAGTAGTAATAAAAATGTAGTGTGTGGCACAGTTTACATCCTCTTTATAGTCTTCAAATCTTCCTCTGTGTGTGTGTGTGTGTCGAACAGTAATGCAGCTGCAGTGTGATTGACCTCAACTAAGCTGTCCATTAACCTTCAGCACACCCCCGCTCTCCCCCTCCCTCATTTGGCAGAGTGCACCTAACACCGTAGCCCGCTGCTTCGTATCTGACCTGTTGTTGTGTCTTGTGTGCGTGCGTTTGCATACGGAGCGGTTTCATCATGTGATGGGTGGACCTTTTGGCAGGGAAAAGTCACAGTCAGTACTTGTGTGGATGAGTAACCAGTTTGCCTCCTTATAGAGTGTTTTGGTTGTGCAAGGATTTACTTTTTTGTATGTAGAGTTACTGAATGAAACCAACAGATAAAGGGAATAAGAAATTCTCTCAATGATGGATGCGCTGACAGAGAAAGAGAAATGCCATATGTGTTTATATGTCATAACAAACGTGAGTGTGGAACCATGGTGTTTGGGTTTACTGAGTGTGCTTGTTTTTCATACTTACAGTCGTTTCTGGTGTTTGTGTGTGTGTGTGTGTCAGCCAGGTGTATATGTGTGTGTTTGTCTGCAAGCAAAGTTTTTGTGTGCAACAAATAATCCTCTAGACTCCCCAGACTTCTCTTGGGGCCTTTTCCAGGAAGGAAAAAAAATGAATAAAAACACAAGAAAAGAGAAACTTTTTGCTGCTGCTCCTATTGATTTTCCTCTAGACAGTTGCCCAAAATTGATAGTTTGTGTCTTTTTTGTATGCTTGCTAGCGTATTACCGAAAAGTGTAGCCCGCTTCCAAAAACAACAGGCAGCAGACTCGTAACAAAGACAGAAATGCACATAGGAAACAAACACTCACATATAGCAAACACTGAGTCAACATCACACTTTTAAGGCCTGTTATGTTGTTCAGTTTCTTGCTTTATGTGCAGACTGTCCTTGTTGGTGCGGGTAGACTAGTTCAGTTTTGATGGTGATTCCACTGAAGCCAGCCCAAAACAGATGTGTCTGAACAGCAAATGTTGCCCTCAGAAAAATGCTCAGCTTGAATTGTGAGTGATGACGAATGAATGTAAGAGACAGAGCGATGAAGAGAGCATATGTCTAATGCCTCATCCGTTTGCTGAAAAATGTAGAAGGAACTCTGTGGAGGATTTGAGCGTGGAGTATTAAGGGGCCACTAACGCCTTTCTGAACTGCTTGTCGGGTGGGTGGATGTCTTTGGCTCTCATTTTTAAACAATATTGTGCCCCCGTCTTCTCGATGATGACCGGCTTTTCACTTCAGATCAGATTTGGATTTCCATCGTAGTCGGACAACACGTCGCACAAGACGTTTATTGTTTAGTATAACCTGGCCATGAGTCTTGACCTGTGGCCGCAGCGTGCTCTATGTAACAAGATGAGCTCAAAGGTCTGTCTACTAGCTGTGTCATCATGTGACCCGCGTTTGATCACATGATAACAAGTTTTGTAATAAAACAAATGAATGACATTTGAGAAAACAAACAAACAAAAGAACTAGGTTTTTTGCAAAGCTTCCTACTGCATCAGTTCATCAGTGGATGGACTTTGCTCAGTTGCTATGGAGATGACTCAGTCGTTATATAACAGGTGGTTGTACATCATGTGGACAAAAAGTTCCACAGAGGAACATTTGGCAAAGAATGGTCCAATAAACAGTGTTGTGTTTAAAAGCCTTAAAACATACTTATAAAACCTGCTCAGTAAATTTTTTTGTCTTTCTTTGTTCTCACCTTTTTTCTAAATGAAGGATGCAGAGGAAAAGAAAAATCCAAATGTTCTAATTTCCAGTATTTATTTCAGTAACACACATTTAATGCATTAAACATTACATGCCCATAAGATTGTTGGTCATATTGTTAAAATTGACTTCATTAACTGTAACTCTGTTCGGATGAATGGCTTCTATTCACCAAACTGGAACTACTTGAAATTGTTCAGTAACAAACACGTACATATGCGCATAAGGCATAATAAAACATGTCAGCTACTATAGAAAGAAGCTTTATAAGTTTAACAGCTAGGCAATCCAGCTTTTTATCACAAGGACAAGTATTCAGGGCCAGCAGTCATGTTTGAGTTGTGTTTTGAAGATTTTAACTTTGTGAATTTTTTAGAGCCCCTGGTCCCAGCTCTTGCTTTTAATAGACTTTAGATTTGTTGTTCAGTTTGGAGATGACTTTCTCCTCATTGCATAAGCCCGACTGCACAAGGAGGATGTACACTTTCACAAATGTATGCTCACATAAACTGCCTCTGAGAGACACACACACACATAAACACACACACAAAGTCAGGTACCTGCCCCAAGAGGCAGAAAGCATTTAGTTAAGCAGCAGAAAGTTTTCTTTGCAAAGTGAGGTGTGTCATTCACAGACTGTTTAATCCCATGTGGCGGTGTTTGGTTTCTCATTGAACTCGGCTAACGGACTCAAAACAAGTCAAGGCTTTAGAACAAGAGTTTCAAAATAAAGGCTCATTAAATCCTATTTAATGACGGATAAATAACAGAGAGGTAGAGAACATAAAACACCGTGTGGTTTCTGAAATGATGGTCTTACTTAATATCTATAGAACTCAATTAACGAGTCCCATGTGTAACCCACGAGCATGCAAACAAAACACACAGGTGTATTAGTTTGGAGACTATTACCACTTTGTTGTGTTTTTTTATTTGAGCCTGTACTGGTGGTGGTACAACGCCACAAGGCATAACAAAGGCTTACAGTACATTTCAGACACTTTCCAACACGTAAAGTTGGTTGTAATTTTAAAATGTCAGGCTAATGCCTGTTAGCACCTCTAAATGTCACTGATGCATATCTTGTTTCTTTAATATGCTCAAAAACACATCTGTGAATACATCAAGTTGCAGTTTTGTGAGCATTTACAGTAAGTAGTGTGAGACTCCAAGAAGTCACTGCTCCCAGTGAAGAAAGAGACCAGCAGATAACCCCCCATAAAACCAAAAATAGTTGTTTTCCCTGTTTTTGTTTTTTTTTTTTTTTAATTAATTTTTTTTTTTTTTTTTGTTTACGGTTCTTGCACAAATTAATCAAAACACCACTCATCTAATGTGTTGAATAGTGAGATTTACAAGTGCTTGAAAGCAGATTTTTTTACTGTCAACATCAGCAGAGCCAGACCAGTTGTGTCCCCCCCCCCCCGCTTCCTTTCTTTAAACTGAGCTAAACTAACCGGCTGCTAGCTGTAGCTTCATATTTAGTGTACAGACATCAGAGTGGGATCGATTTTCTCATGCAACTCTAGGCAAGAAAGTAAATAAATATATTTCCAAAAACTATTCCTATAAAAGGCTGAAAGCTATCGAAGCATTTTTTCCTCAACCAGAACTTTACTTTGAAACTGAACTCTTGCTACTCGAGTTTGAATACATTTTTCTTGTTCCATTTTTTTTCCCTATCAGTGTAAACTGATCATAAAAAAAATGTAGTAAAAAAAATCCCCCTTTTCCACTTTTTGTGTCTCTTTGTCTTTCATCTGTCCTCCTCCCTACTTCATTTTCTTCCTCTCTCTCTCTCTCTCTCTCTCTTTCTCAGGGTTACCTGCCAGCTAATGCAGAGAGGAGAGAGAGCGTCCTACAGAGGAAGAGACAAGAATATTTTGGCTTCATCCAGCAATACTATGACTCCCGCAATGACGAACACCATCAAGACACATACAGACAGGTATACATACACATGCTCGAGCGCACGCACATGCACAGTACAATTTACGTGTGTGTTTAATCGTTTCTTCTACATCTGACTTTCTTTTTTAACACCTGTCTGAATCCAAGAGTTTGAAGGACAGAATGAAAGACGGACTACAAAGGATTCCATTTCCAATTACAAGAACAACTTCTTGTCCCTAATGTATTCCCTCAGCACAAACCCAGGACACAAAGCTGTTTATGTGCATGTTTGTGTTCTTATGTGTGTCAGTAAGGGTGTGTTTTGACAGGAGTGGTCCCTGAAGAAAGGATTACTGGAACTGGTTATCTGGCAAAAAGTGCTTTTCTATGTTTTGTTTTTTGTTTTTTTTCCTTTTCTTTTTCCTGTCTTTTTTTTTCTCTCTCTCTCTCTCTCTCTCTCTCTCTCTCTCTCTCTCTCTCTCTCATGTACTTATTGGACTGATTGAACTTCTGTCTGTCTGTCTGTCTGTCTGTCTGTCTGTGTTGACATGGAGGCAGTGTGTTAGAGCTCTGTTCACAGAGTAGAACCAACCACCCCCAAACTTCAGAAAGCTGCCTAAATGAACACTTCTCTTTTGCTTTGAAAATAATATCTGCTTTTACTCGGTCTCTGTTTATCTGTCTCTCCCCCACATACTCTTTCCTTTTAACACTCGACTACTTCCTATTCATTTCAGGCTGATAAGAAACATCAAAGTGAGCTGTCGATAGCAAAAACACACATTTCTCATATTCTGTCCAATTTCCCATTGATCTTCTCTACACTGTGGCAGAAAGCTGGCATACTTTGTTTTGATGATTGTTTGGATCGTGTCTTGAAGCCTCTTTTTTTTTTTTTTTTTTGCCAAATTCTGTTTGTTCCAGCTCTGTTTATGACGACGGAGCGAGCAGTAATTTCCAGTAATTTTTTTTCTGTTTGTGTGATTATGTGTGTTTGTACGTATGTTGCTTTGGCACTCAAATTGGACATGGCAATGGGTTCTGTTTGTCTGTATGTTTAAGTGGCTGTGGATACATTTGCATACATGTACCTGTGTGTCTTCTGCTCGTCTTCGTGTCTGTCTGTGTTCATGTGGGATGGTCCATCATCCATCTTGAATCTCCATCTGTCTCAATAGTTTGTCTCTTCTTGTTTCTGTCCATCTGTCTCTTTTATATACTTGTTTATGCTCTTGGTAACTTGCCTAAACAGCTTGTGTGTATGTGTGTATACATATGCATATGAATGCAGCCATTGTAGAAGTTCCAGCTTGCACTGCCATCTTTTTGAAGTACTGCTGCAGTTTTGTTCCATCCCAAGAGAAAATGTTTTTTAAAAAAAAAAAAAGAAAAAAAAAAAGAGAAGCTTTTTAAGGGTAGAGTTGGTTATCGTTTGGATCTTATCAATTCCGGCTCTTATCAATTCCCTGTTTTGATTCCAAAATGGTAAAAAAAAGAAAAAGAACTAAAATGTTTAGACAACAATAATATCTTTATTCCTTTAAGTATTAACTGAACATTGACAAAGTAAATAGGGTTTACTATTTACTGGTAGTTTTTACAACAAAAACGATCCACAGACTTGCATTGAAAAAATATTAAAGGATAGATGAAGATCTAGAGCGTTGGATTCTGGTCTATCCATATGATGTTGCCATACGCTTATAATAACCATCTGAACTAAACGTGGCAAAAACGAGCACTCTTAGGCGACGTATTTTGACATGGACAATTTTCCCGTTATATGACATTGCTGCAGCTGTTTTGCGTTTGCTGGTTATAACATTCTTGCTCAATATTGGACAGAACCAAAATGATGGGAAAATAGGGGCCAGATGTAAAACTACCAACAAAAAAGAGACAATTTCCCTTGAACACTGAATGCGCTCCTTCTCTAGCTTTACCTCTTCCTTGGGACGCCCGAGATCTTACATGTGGTCAAAACGGGTTTAAATGCAGAGTACTGATAAGTGCATGAAGGGAACTTTTGCATTGGTGTGTGTGTGTGTGTGTGTGTGTGTGTGTGTGTGTGTGTGTCTAACACTTCTCTCTCCCATGTTGCCGTTAGATCCACATAGACATTCCTAGGATGAGTCCTGAGTCTTTGGTGCTGCAGCCAAAGGTGACAGAGGTAAGGTGGACAGAGCTGTGGATACAACTCAAATCCCCAGCCCCGTCAGTAACAAGCCACACACTCTCACAAGCAGTCTGCCTGTCCGGTCTGGACGATTTCAGTCGGCTTGGCTCCAGTCGCTGTCCTGCATCCGTCTGGCTCCCTTCTGACGAATCTGTCCGCCTGTTGAACTGTTCATCTGCAGGGTAGACACTCTGAAATGGTGTTAACGTGGTCTGAAACACACACACAAACACACAACACACACCAAAAAAAAAAAAAAGCATACACAAATGTACTCTCAAGCACATACTATCAGAGACGGCTCGAAAAGCACAGACACACACATACAACACTCAAGACCACCGCTGCTATCCATTTCAGACCACCAAACCCCCTGTCTGCCTTCAATCAAGGACACCAATCCACTAACTGTTGCTCTCTCTCTGTCTCTGTCACTGTCTGTAATGGCCAGATCTGTGCTAACATGCCCGTTGCTTCAGTGTTTGTCTTTTTTTTTTCTCTCTTTGTCTCTCTGCAGATTCACATTGACATACCGAGAACTAATCCTCTTATTCCTCTTTTTCAACAAGCTTCTGTCCAAGAGGTGAGACTCCCCCACCCCCGCCCACTACACCCCCCACCCCCCAACCCTCACGCCCCACCCCCCTTGTTGCACACACACCACTTCACCTGGCAGGATTATCCCCTCCACTTTTGGGCAGATATGGGTAGTAGCATCAACCAGTCACTTAAATCATAGTAATTGACGGTTGAAAAAAACAGAATAATTGTCAAATCTTTTAATTTTTTTGTGTTTTTTCCATCTGCCTAGGAGTTTGAAAGGGGAAAACTCTTGCCTTAGCACACTGCATGGTCTGGCATTGGGTGCACACACACACACACACACACACACACACACACACACACACACACACACACACACACACACACACACACACACACAAACGAAAAGAAGCACAAACTAAGAACATAAAGAACCATTAAATCATACCTGCAGTAATGCATGTGATCACACAAACTTTCACGCTGCATGGTTAGCATTCTGATACCTCTTTGTTCTGTTCTGTTAGTACCACTGAACGAAGAATTTCCTGTTCCAGTTGGGTACTGTGTTGTGGGGGATATAAGAATTGTCTCAATGACCTCTTCAGCATTGTGTTTGATAAAACAATAGCCATCAGTGGTAGTTAGGGCACATTAGGAAAACATACAGCAAGGCACACGTTTCTAGAATCCCTAACTATGAGCTCATTTCAAGTTGCTTTGGAGAATGGTGCTACTGAAATACTTAAAATGTAAATGTGGTCACTTATGTTTCTATTGTAATAAGTATACTAAGGCGCGTGTGTTGGAAGTTGACTCAGCAGGCCTGAGGGACTATCAGAGCAGCTTCCCAGCGCAACTTAACACGGAAATTAACTGGATGCCATTCATATCTATGGGGTTAAGCTGATCTTTAGAATTAGAGTGCTTCTGGGAGGTTCTGTCATACACAGAACCACTGGCCTGAGAAGCAGAGGACTGAAAACACCGATAGGAAAATCCCATAATGAGGTGCAGGCTAATGAGGTAGCCAGTGGTCTGGACTGCTCCGTGTACACACCTACACACAGGTGTGGGCAAGAACACACGCATACATACACACTCCCGGAAGCATATGCACCAATATATGCATGTGTATACACATAATAAAACGAGGGGAAATAATGAAATGAGGGGGCATACTAGCATATCACTGTGCGGAAACTCATACTCATGTACAGACACATTAATACATATTCACACAGAACGCCCGAGGCAATGCCACCTCCTGTTGCCCCGTGTCTCATATAGGATGCAGCTCGGGGCTGTAACCAGGGAGGTAAGGAGGGAAAAAATAAGATCAGACGAGGGTGAGGCTTTTCTACCTACTATCTAATGTACAGTGTGTACTACTACTGTATATATTCTTTGTATTTCTCCCCTTGCCTCCTCCCTCCCTCTCGTCCCCCTCACACCAGCTCCCCCCACTTTGTTTGCCGAATGAAAGCCAACAGTGTGCATCCAAACATCCAAGCAGCGTGCTCCTCATATATTGTTATGCAACTGACTCCAAAAGGTGTCTTCCCCCCCAACCCTTTTTAAAAAAAAAAAAAAAGTTTTTTATATGGTTTTGCTGCGCCGCCACCTAAAAATCACCTGTGCGTCATTTCATTAACTTGTTTGTCTCAGCCAACCCCCCCCACCCCACGCGCACCCCACCCCCCACGGGGTTCGCTGAGATTTAGTCAAGATGGAAAGCAGTCAACAGCCTGTTCCCTTTCGGGGAGAGAGAGGGATATTGAAGCGATTCTGCAGTGATTTCCTAAGTGCTATCTCAGTGTTTGAGTTTTTTTCTTGCTTTGGAGAACAATACAGTCTTCATGAGATGTTGATAATCAGCAATTACAAGTTCCCGACCCGAAAAAGAAAGCGTTCACTTTTGCCTCCAAATTCTGATTACAGGCCTGAAAGAGCAGGATTGATCAGTAAACCTCTGTGTCAAGCATATTAAGACAAAACAAATTTTCTCTCTTTTCATTTGAAGCATTTAAGGGATACTTCTAAAATGAATAAGTGCATCGTAGCAAGTGGGTGAAGTGGTTGTTGATTAATTCATTGGATATTTGAGAGATTGAGCCCATCGTCTTTTGACAGTAGGCTCTAATTTCATGCGTCTCGCCCCTCCTTCAGCCTTTCTAACTTTGTGTGTGAGATGTCAATGAAGAGTTATTTGAGTTGACACCATTTCTTGTATCAATTTCCTTTCTACCTCTTGAGATTAGCTTTATCGGGGTCTTGGAGGTCTGGAACTAATGGGATGGAGCCATAACGCGTTGACACAGGGGACAAAGGAAAAGCAGATTTCCTGTCTTAGAGAGGCACCGCATTATGAGAACAATCTGAAATTAATGTGAGATTAACATAAATTGCAAGAATCTATTTTGGTGTTTTTGGAGAACTGAGTGAACTCATGAAGACAAGATTGGTTGATTAGTGTCTGAAGTTTTCTCTGCGTCTTTGTTTTCAGTCTTTCTCACATGAATGTCGCCATACACACAAAAACACAGAAGAGGGCAGAGGGGGGTGGGGTGGGGGGGGGATTCTTTGCCCATACTAATGAGGGCAGGGCGGTGTGTGTGTGTGTGTGTGTGTGTGTGTGTGTGTGTGTGCACGGGTTCACTCAAAGTTGCTCTGTGTGTAGGTGCCAATGTGAAATATGTATGTCAGCTTTTGAGGTTGCATGAAAAGAAAGTCCCATTACTCCCCCTGCTAGCGCCAGCACCTCTCTTTGTTTGATGGATGGGGCTTTGATAAGGGGAGAGGAGGTGTGAGGTGTGGAGGCAGGTTAGGGTGGTTTGAGAAAGTGTAGGGGGGGTGGAAAGCCAGAGGGAGTCGCTTCTGAGCGATCTCTCCGAATTTTTTAACATTGATTGAATTATCTTCAATAAAAATGAGAGAATTTGCGTGCGTAGCTTCCATGACATTGTCGTGCTTGTGTTTTTTTTGTTTTTTCTCTCCCCATAAAACAGTAAGCTATGAGGTTATTTAGACAGAAACATGACACATCCCCCCCAAAAAAATAAGAAAGCGCTTGATGGGTGTGGTACAGCAAGGTGAGAAAGAGTGTGTGTGTATTTTTGGGGACATCCATATGCGCACCGGAAAAACAAGCTGAACATCAAGCCTCCTCTAATTCACTTGGGCTGACAGCATTAAACAGCCACCCATAACCAAGATGGAAATATTGAGAAGTCTGGGGAGAGAGAGAGGGAAGAGCAAGAGACAGACAAACTGAGTGGAAAATAAAGAGAGGGGAGGGAGGAGACCAACTCCGAAGCATCGAACAAAGTTCAACCTGAGCTTTTCTTTTTTTTTTTCTTTTTTTTTTTGTTTGTGCACAAAAAAATGCAACAGGAATTGAAGAGCGAGGTGTTGCTCTGTGCTGAGAGAAGCAAAGACACGGTTCATCTCAAATTTAGACACTGCTCATCCATTTCTACAAGGTCCACAGTTTTTAATTTGGGTGAACAGTCCCAATCTAACTGGATAACAGCAGTAGACATTTTCTTGATAACATTTTTATATATCACTTTACAAAACAGCTTTACAGTTTATTCATCCCAGGAGAATAGATTCGAAGAGTGAAGCAGTTCAGATATCACACACTAACTATAAAGGTGGATGTGGTGGAATAAAACACACATGCGTACACATGGGGGGAAAAAAGTGAAACTAGGTTTTAAACCAGAATGTTATTATCAACACTTGCAATTAATGTGATATTTCAATCCAGTAATATCAAGTCTCAAGGTCCAGAGCTGTTACTGCAGTATATGCCATTAAAGGTGCCCTGTAGAGTTTTATTGCAAACTGATGTTATGTTTAAGTGTAGCCTCGAGAGCGAATGAACATGTCGAATGTATTTCTTTCCTCTTCAAATATTTGCAAAGCAATTTTTTTTTTTAACAGTAAAATCTTGTCATTGTTAACATCCATGTTTGCTAGCTGAATTTCTCTACCTTGCTTGTACCTGTTGGCGCATCGCTCTGCTTTTTGCACGTTGCGGCCGTTAGCAGTCAACCCGCAGACGAGCTAAGTGCACGTGCATCCTCGTGCGCATGTACAATACAAACTAAATACATAAGAAACACTGCTCTCTAACACTACGCGTGGTCGGAAACCCCACAGGGTACCTTTAACGTTGTTTTTCTAACACATCCGAAAGCGAAGGAGATGAGGTTAAATACAAATTCAAGGTCGTGTTAATGTGGAATAAATATCACAGAATAGACTCCTATAGCAAGCAAGGGTGTGCCAGTTCAGTTGCTTTCTTCCTCACCAGCTTGGCATGCTTCTGATTTCCACACCTCACTCGCTTTCTAAAATTTACACTTGTATGATTCAAACCTGTAATTCTAACAGCCTATTATTTCCAAGTTTGACATTTGCAGGCATAGTTGGCTCCGTTGAGAATAAGTGTTAAAGATTTGAGTCGATGTGAAAGTTTTGCTTCATTATCAGCGATCATTTGTGCGAGAAAAGATTAGTCAGTAACTGATTACAACAGAAAACTTGCCAGTCGATTTTTTTTTTTTTACTTAAAGCTCTTTATTTTAGCTTCTCCACAACATAAAGATTTATTCCTTTCTTGTTTCATATCATTGTAAATTGACGTATTGTCTGTGTAATGTAAATGCGTTTTTGTCTCCAAACCACAGTTTTGACTCTTTGTCTTTGTGTGTATGTTTGTGTGTGTAAGATTTTTGAGCGGATCCTGTTCATTTGGGCCATCCGCCACCCGGCCAGCGGCTACGTGCAAGGCATCAACGACCTGGTCACGCCGTTCTTCGTGGTCTACGTCTTTGAGTACATCGGTGAGTGCCATCTCTCTCTCTCTCTCTCTCTCTCTCTCTCTCTCTCTCTCTCTCTCTCTCTCTTTTTTTTTTTCTTTTCCATTTTCACTTTAAAACTCCCAAATCTTTCGTGTGATACGCTATTAGCTGGCAAGACTTTGGGTTTACTTACTGGGTTGATCACAACAGGTCGCAGGGAGTCGAACCTTGCATCCTCGAGACGAGCTTCCTTTTTTTCCGCAACTAATGGCAAATGAACTCCTCCGGCTCTGTGCCCTCTGTTCCACTCGCTTTTCTTCCATCTATCTGTTCCTCTTGCATTTCCATCCACACTTCAATTACAGCCTGTGTTTAAATGATGCGTAATTCATCAAAGCATTCTGGTTAACACCCAGGGTTAGGCTGCATGTGCATATGTGTGAGAGAGCATGACATATGTGGGCACGTGTATGCTCGTTCTCAAACACCACAGTGTTCTCTCCGGAGCCCGCAAACCACCCACCACTCCGCCCCCCTCCCCTGCTGTGTGCGTTTATGTTGTGCCACATTTACGCAGATGAATGTTTTCTTTTATTCTCACACTTCTTTCCTCTGACAGTATAAACACACAATGTCAGATACAAAGACACACAGACTGGAAACAGTTGGAGGAGAAATGAAGACTGTCAGTCTTTCAAAGATGATTTTAATTGTCAGAACTTTTAAGGATGAGTTACTTAAATATTTTTCCACATCTGTAATGCTTTTTTACTTGCATCCATCCAGATATTTGACAGAAAAGACAGAAGTGACAGACAGTCGTGATACGTTATATCATAAAAAGTCTCTGGGATTGTGAAACGTCAGTCAGCAGAATATACTGTATATATTTTCTTTATTACATTTTTTGAACCACTTTATTTATTCAGTCAGGAGAAATGAAATAGGTAGAACAAAATAAAATTGAATCAAACCTCTATATTTTTCAGAAAGTCCATGTTTTTCACTCTTTATTGCAAATGCTAATTTTCCAGAGAAAAACAGCATTTCAACCAACTGCTGAGAGGTTTTTTTTTCACAGTTGTTTTCCAGGAGCATTTTGACAGCATCCTCCTTTTCATTATGGTTATGATCAACAGTAAAGAGTCTATATAGAAAGTATAAGTAAGTGATGCTCGCCACACCGCTGGTTTCTACAAGTTCCCACTGTGATGTGAGTTTCTCTATACATCCCACATACTGTATATACTGTGCATATGTAGTTTTTTTTTTCCTCCTTCTTCTTTCCTTTTGCTATGTTTTGGCCTGGCAAGCTCTACTAAATGAAAACCACAATGCTCTGAGGAGCACCTCGCACACTCTGGACCATATGTGGTCACACAGATATAATTAGGATCCACAAGTTAAGTGCTGGGAAGCATGCAGAGAGGATGGACTCTGACTTCAGTGCTTCTCTTAACTGTGTTTTTTGCACACAGCACTTTTTGTTCAGAGCTAATGAGTCTAACTTCTGTTTCGTTTTGCTTCTTTTATTTTGACACGATACATCGCAGCAGCACCGCAAACTATAGTGCGAGTCTCCAAAATGGGCACGAGGCCGAATCAACACCTTTATAAAACACTTACAACAAAAACGGAACATTATAACCTTCGTGAAAGTGTTTATCACAGGACAGTGTTAGATTTAGGTAGATGTACCTATTAAACTGGAAACTGAGTGTATACGCTAAAATAAGATTTCCAGCATTAACAGCTTCCTCTAACAAAATAGTGGCTGCAATTAGATCCAGTATGACTCTAAGACCTTTACTGACGAAACAGATAATTAAAAACAGTTTCTTAAAATCTGAAGCAATTACACAGTAAATTTAGGAAGCAACTGACCTGCATCATTTTTGGAATACATTAGAGTTGAAGTGATTAGTTGACTGTAAGTATATTGATTACATTTGAATTAGTTGGGATGAATTATGTGCCAGTTTGACTTTGTTTGAACTTGATTTTTTTAAATTGTCACAGGCTATTTATTAAATAATCGAAAACGCAATCAGCAGATTAATTGCTAATGAAAATATGAGTTAATTGTAGCCCTAGAATTAATTGCTTAGTATGTAAAGAGCAGGATCGTGGTGAGGAATCATTAAGATAGAGTGTTAACATGTTCCCCAACCCCAGTGACTAGTTGTGTGCATAATACTGAGTAAAGAGGAGACTCTTGATTTCTTTTTTTTTTTTTTTCAATTAGCTTCTTGTCTTTCACTTTTTCCACTCTTTTCTTGTTTCTTGTTATGTTCTCCTGCGTCTCGTTTCCTCTGCCTTTCCTTTCACTGTCATTTTCTCCGTCTTTCTTTCCCTATCCCTACCTCTCTCTGCATTTGTTTCTCCCCTCTCTTTGCCTTTCTCTCTGGGTGAGTCAGACTAATGTCAGATCTTCAAAGCATCACCCCGCGCTTTGTTCCCCTGCATCTCCATGCGCTGATGAGCCTTGAATAACATACACAGCCAACAAACCTTCAAACGTGCCTGGCTGGCATCTTACATGATGGGCTGATGCTCCGTGTTGTTGTTCGGTTCTCTTGTTTTCTGGTGCAGAGAGAGGTTTGGCTCTTTCATGAGGTGGGCCTAATTCTGGTCCTTTGTGGAGGGGTAGAAAGTGTGAGATATACTATCTCATGCTGTCGTGCTCTCCTGCTCTCTCTGGCTGTCTCTCTTCGTCTCTTGCCATCTGTTTTTCTTTTTTCTTTCACGGCGCACTCCCCCTCCCTCTCACCTTCCCTTCTTCCTTTGTGGCCCCACGGTGAAAACAGGAAGTTTTATTCTCTTAAGTCAGAATTTATTTCTTTAAGAATGATTAAAAATAAATACTACTCCGCACGCTCACTCCGTGTACACACGTTGCCTCGACGTTTCTTACTCAAACAAATATTAAAATAGTCACATTTGAAGGTGTTCGTAGGTTAGACAGCTGAGATATTCGTCTCTATTACTTTTCCTTTTGTTCTCTACATGAGGTCAAACACTGATCTGTCAAACCCAAGTGAAGAGCCTATGTGGCGAAAAACAACGAGCTCTGAAGAAACGAGAGATTCAGAGAGACCTTGCAAGTGAAATTTAGTTTATTCATTCTTTAACCTGTTGCCAGAAACTACGACTATAGTTTGAGAAGTAACATCACAGAAGTGTTCTTTACAGACTTAGGTTTGAACATCTCATCGAAGCTGAACACAAAGCTCTGAACACAACACTGACATATTGTCAGCACATTATCTGTAAAGTTGAACATTGAACAGCTAAGCAAACAATCGATTATTGCTGTTAACCAGAGCCGGGTCAACATTAGCATTTATTGTTGTGAAAGATGCAAAAATGGTCTGTTGAACCGAGAGAAACTGCAGAGTTGGTCATAATTCCCTGTGGCTTAGTCACTTTTAGTGACTCAGTATCTGTGTTTTTAAAATGTGTATTTCCCGGTGGTTACTGATCCCAGCACTGTAGACACAGTTTGAGGTACATGCATATGTGTTTGTGTATCTGCATTATCCAGTAAATACTGCAGACGTCTATTTAATGGACACAATAATGACTTGTTGGGAGTTGGATTGTTGGGAGCGGGCCTTGATATGCTCAGATCCCCACCAACTCTGCTAAAGTGGCCTAATCAGTAACCCTAAAAACTGTGAAACAAAATGAGGTGCACAGTAGGTGAGAAAGTGGCTTAAATCAGCTTGCAGCAAAAAAAAAGGTCAAGATAGGCTCATGTCCTGCAGAGTCAAATTAAGTTACTGAGCAGTCACTCTTCAAAGTGTCTTTAGAAAGAGATTGACAGCAACTTTTCAGTCTTTTACACTTAGACTAATGTAGATGTTCAGATTAAATTTTCTAACTCTTGATCCAAATGTGTGCTTGTTTGTGTCTGAGAGGTTTAAAGCCTTGAGTGAGTTTGAGTGACAGCCAGTATCTGCGGATGTGAGCCAGTTCACTGATTGGGAACCTGATTAAGACATGGACCTGTTTGCAGCTGTTTAATCTATCCTCTAAACAAGTCTTTTCTGTCTCCCTTTTGTTTTCCTTTTGTTGCACTATTCTTATCTGTCACTTTGTTAGCCTCTCTCTATCTCTGTTTTTCCTTTCAGCTCTGTCGCTCTGTTTTTCCGGCTTCTTTTTTTTCCAAGTCACATAACAGCCTTGGTGTGTCACTGCGGCGCTCGTTCGGCTGCCCTATACCCCTTTTACCTTTCGGTGATGCAATGTGGAGCGATGGCTCAACCTCTTCGTAGCCACCCTCCTTTTCTGCTTTCATTAATACCTAGCTGTTAATCCAAATTGAAAAACCCCAATTGGGAGATTATTGATAAACTCTTCTGATGCCTTAGAAGGAAAAATACCACTAAAGTAGTTGTGTGCCCACTTGGACTGTTAAGCAATCTAGTAGGCTTCCCTCTTGTCAAAGGAGAAATTGATTTGGCGAGTCTATCGTTTCTTGTTGGCCAACTGTGAGGCATTACTTTTCTTTTGTCTTCTCCCTATCTTCCACAGTGTAGCGCCTCTTCCATTAGCCGACAATAAAAGTAATCTAATTAAGGCCAGGCTGGGCCATGACGGGCCGAAGAGCGGGGCCAGTCCTCCCTTTAACGTGCAATGGCCTTTGATCGGCGAGTGGATCCATAATGTAATCTGCATGCCAATGTCTGAGTATGGATCCACTCTGAAGACAGATGAAAACAAGGAGGCAGGTTAGAGAAAAAGAAAAGAGACCAGGCACTGTATCTGAAAATCCGAAGAGGTGAGGGTTTGACAACCACAAGTGAAAGAGACGCAGAAGCAGAGTGGAGACAGAGTAGTAGAAAATAACAGCAGCCAGAGTGTCTCTCGGCAGGCTTAAGAATAAGAAAGAGTGAGGGGAACGGCGAATAACAGAGAGGGACAAACAACAGAGCAAGCAAACAAGATTTTCAAAAAAAAAAAAGGGGTAAATGACCGACTTAGAAAGCGCCCCCATGCTGTCAGGAAGCAGCCGAGCCAGGCAGTCCTTCCTCCTATCA